TGCTTTGGCCGAGAAAGTTCATTGAGATTTCCCAACATGGTTGCCCCATGTCAGTGGGGGGTGGGGGTGGATGGCCGATTGGTTAGCACGTGTGCGCTGTATCATAAGGTCTGTCATTGAGTCAACTGGCAGGGTTGCGACAAGGAGTAGGGTCGCCTGTCCAACCTCGTTTGGTTTCCTCCCACTGCTAAAGACCCCAGCGCAAGCGAATTATGAAAAAATAATATTGAACCATGTGTTAGTCCCAAAATGACCTAGTTTGTGTCGAGTGGACGTTAAACCAAATTTCTCTCTCTCTTTCCCCTTGTAAGTGGTGCAAGAAGAACCGAGGTCTCAAGGCAAGTATTCAACAAGAAGTAGTTGGGCGAACATCCAATCTCTAAACTTAACTGCTTTTAGAATCAACTTTAAGAGAATATTTTGGTCTAAGTTTTGAAAAGTTGCAAAAAAGTCTGTTTACATTTTTAGGCATCAGATAAGAAATTGGATGTTAGAAAACAAGAGACTTGTCTCATTATAGACTATGTTAGTGATGTGAGCAGCTGTGTTTCTAATTATTAAACAATTCACAATTGGTTAAAAGATACTTTATTGTAATTAAAACTAGTACAAACGTTTGTTTTTTCTTTCTGAGTTGTGCAAATATAAACACAGGTAGTACAGAAATGAAATGGGGTTTTTAATGTCCTAATGATCTGCTCCGAACTGGGCTAATGAAGACGGGCATACGCTATACAGTGTGTTATGAGGGAAATTTTGTCCGGACAGCGGCACTACGACCTACTGTTATCTCGAATTCCAACTGTCAAGGGATCTTTTATGTGCACCCCAATGTGTACAGGGGACCTCGAATGTGTACACGGGACTTCGGTTTTTCATAACATCCGAACGACTAGACAGCTGTACTTGTCAGGCCCTCCGTCCTGCACCACTTACAAGGGGAAAGCACATCGGAAAATCTGGATGAACTTTCTCAGCAATGCAGGGATCGAACACCCGACCTCCAGGCTAGCGAGCCAGCGTCTTACCCACTTAGCCTGTCCAACCTCGTGGGTTTTCTCTGGGTCCTCCGGTTTGCTCCAACTGCCAAGGACCCCTACGCACAAGCAAATTATTGAAACAAAATTGAACCATATGTTAGTCCCGAAATGATCTGGTTTGTGTCAATTGGATGTTAAATCCCATCTCTCTCTCTCTCTCTCTCTCTCTCTCACTCTCAAGTTCATGTAATGATTAGTTTAGTAGAACTGCACAAGAAAATACAGAAAAAACAAACAATATGGGAAAATGTCACAATGGAATATACCGGTATACACATTCCCAGATAGAAGATAAAACAACTGAAACGGGGGGGGGGCTTAAAAGATAAAGCAATGAATTTTGTAAAACTATTGTCATTTCATCATAATTTTCTGTAATGTTTAAGCATCTTGTGAAATGGAGAAAATAGCCGAATGATCAAAGACATAAAAGATCCATGATAAAATATTTATTAAATGGTGGAAGAAAAAAAAGGAGAAATAAATGAGTCTAGTCACAAACTTCTCCCTGATTGTTACTTCTATATTCTGATTGAAGTTTGTTCTATAGAAAATAACATTATTATAAAGTTGTTCATGTGCATTGCATGTGTGCAGCATGTCAACACCCGTTATTTATTCATAATGTGCATTTATTACTCTTTGTTTGCTTGTGTGACTACTTGTGCTTCAGGTCGACCCATGCAGAAGACAATACTCTAAAGGTTACCGTGATATTGGATTTCAACGGAAATTGTTTTTCCTATCTGATTGAATTAAATTGTATGTTTCAAAATTTTATGGATGCACTCACACGGAAATGATAAACTGTATTAAAATCGTTAAAAAAGATGTCTCGAATAGACTGGATGTTAGATTTAATTTGAAAGATTTGTTTTGTATCCTGCCTGTATTCAGTTAGTTTTTTTTGTTATATTCCCCCGAGATGGAGTAATTAATGAAATATATTAATTGGCAATACATATAAGAGAGAAAGGGGTGATTTCGGGACAAAAATAGGGCTCTTTGGCAGTGGGAGGAAATTGTACAATAGGGCTCTTTGACAGTGGGAGGAAATTGTACAATAGGGCTCTTTGACAGTGGGAGGAAATTGTACAATAGGGCTCTTTGACAGTGGGAGGAAATTGTACAATAGGGTACTTTGGCAGTGGGAGGAAATTGTACAGTGGGAGGAAATTGTACAATAAGGCTCTTTGGCAGTGGGAGGAAATTGTACAATAGGGCTCTTTGGCAGTGGGAGGAAATTGGAGTACTCTGAGAAAACCCATGAAGTTGGACATGTGACCATACTCCTTGTCACGAGCAAGCTTCTGATCAAAATCTTGCCTCTAGACTCAATCATAGACCTTATGATCTAAAGCCCATGTGTAAAGAAATGAATTGAAATGGGGTTTAACGTCCTACTGTTCTGCTCCTAAACTCGACTAATGAAGACGAGCATACGCCATACAGTGTGCTATGAGGGAAATTTTGCCCAGGCAGCAGCACTATGGCCTACTCTTATATCGAATTCCAACTTCCAAGGGATCTTTTTTGTGTAAGCCAATGTATACAGAGGACGTCGGTTTTTTATCCCATCCGAATGACTAGACAGCTGTCCTTGTCAGACCCTCCATCCTACACCCTTGACAAGGGGAAACCACGTCGAAAAATCCTGATAAACTTTCTCGGACAATGCGTAAAAACACTTAACTACCCATAACTAATGTCAAATTTACATCGAAATATTAATTATCTACATTTCTTTTATTTTGCAGGGATTGCAATATTGTTAACTGATGGCTAATAAAGGTAAGATATTTTAACAGGTCTAAGCTTACTCTTTCTAGATATCTGACAATTCATAAAAAGAACTGACTGCCACTAGATAAGAGAACACGAAAGAAAAACAAGAAAAAGTTTGTGCATTACCATGTTTTTATAAGGTATAGAATGAATATAAACAAAGGGGATTGTACGGACTATTTCTATTTTTCTCGTGTTCTCTTATCTAATGACATTCAATTACTTTATTGAATTGTCAGGTATCCTCTTACAGTCCCGTATAACAACTTTTGGTCTTCGAAAGAATTAATATTGAGCAGAAATTCGTCCGTGTATCTGATATCACTCGTCAGGTCAGTCAGTTATATAGAGGCATGACTCGTGTTTTCCTTTGGCGTTCGTCACTTCCGATTCAGGAAACCTGTATTACTCAGCTATCGTAGCAATGATCTCTGTGTTAAAATTATATTTGGAATGTGTTTAACCAGCTCTATCGCATATGTGATAATGACTGGCACCAATATTGTCCTTTAAATGTTAACATACAAAGGTAAAACAAACATTTGTTAACTATATAGAGTTTTCAAAGAAGAGAGAGAGAGAGAGAGAGAGAGAGAGAGAGAGAGGAAGAGAGAAGAGAGAGATATTCAAATCTAGTAAATATCACAGGCTAGCGATGACATTGAGAGTTGATTATGGTCTTTTCATGTTAATAAAAAAAGGCTAGCGATGACATTGAGAGTTGATTATGGTCTTTTCATGTTAATAAAAGTCTAATTAATAGTTTATATAACATTTCAGGCCTAAAGAAAGAAATGAAATGAAATGAAATGGGGTTTAACGTCCTACTGTTCTGCTCCGAACTGGGCTAATGAAAACGAGCATACACCATACAGTGTGCTATGAGGGAAATTTTGCCCAGACAGCGGCACTAAGACCTACTCTTATATCGAATTCCAACTGTCAAGGGATCTTTTACGTGCACGCCACACAGAACCTCGGTTTTTCATCCCATCCGAACGACTAGACAGCTGTCCTTGTCAGGCCCTCTGTCCTGTATCACTGACAAGGGGGGAACCACGCCGGAAAATCTGGATGAACTTTCTCGGCCAATGCAGGGGTCGAACACCCGACTTCCAGACTAGCAAGCCAGCCTCATACCCACTTGTCACCATGACCCCCCGTAAAAAAGACCTGCAATAGGCAGATTTAGCTCGTGCATAATGTATCTTTAAAGATCCGTCGCTTGTATAATGTATGTTTGTATGAAGTATTTTTTTCTTCACATAAACATCCATAATATTCACATTCTACAGATAGTAGACTTCTTGGAAATTATGGCAATAGAAGTTATGAATATTTATTTTTTCCTATGGTTGAAGATAAATTCTGTACTGTGGTAGTGTCTCAAAATTAGCTTTGAAATAGTGGACAAAAATTGGTTTCCCAACGGCTGACTTAGTTACACTTGAATATTCAATGTTATACATATCAAGTAGCCTATTCCTAATAAGTGGCACTTCTGTCGGGATGAATTCCTGTACTAGTTATTTATCTCAATCATCTATATTCTGTGAATACAACCCTACTTAAACATATTGACCAATGTAAAAAAAACAAATAGGGTTTAAGTTCTCTTAACACTAACTAGGCAATTTCTGGATCAAATTTGTGAAAAGATCTGGTTCCCCATATATTATTATTATGAGAGAGAGAGAGAGAGAGGGGGAGGGGGAGAGAGAGAGGGGAGAGAGAGAGAGAGAGAGAGAGAGAAAGAGAGTAACATCCACTCAACACAAACTAGGTCATTTCGGGTAGGAGTCTTTTCTTTAGCAGTGTAGTAAACCGGGGGACAAGGAGAAAACCCACACAAGGATGGACAGGCGACCTTACCCCTTGTCCCGTACAACTGGGGAATCGAAACCATGCCTGTTGACTCAATGATACAAGGCACATGCGCTAACCATTCGGCCATCCTCCCTCCCCCCCCCCCCCCCAATATATATTATTATATTATTAGATATGGTACATGCACAAATATGCTGAAAGTGTAACTAATCCCAAATGTTTTGTTTAAAAATATGATTATTAATAAACTCGATCTCTTGGGTGCATTAATCAGCATATTTTCCTTAAGATTTATGGTGTTTCCCCTGAGGAACAATATATTAGCTTGCCAGGCGAGGTAAAACTCACACCCACAGGAGCTTCGTTATCTGTGCTGTAATAAATTTCTTCACTCTTTTCCTTCTTTTTAGGGGGTCTGTCATTGAGTTAACTGGTGTGGTTTCGATTCCCCGGTTGTATGTGACAAGGACTAGGATCGACTGTCCAACCTCGTGGGTTTTCTCCGAGTCCTCTGGTTTCCTCCCACTGCTAAAGACCCCTACGCTCAAGCTAATTACTGAAATAAAATTAAACCATCTGTTAGTCCCAAAATGACCTAGTCTGTGTCGAGTGGATGTTAAACCCAATTTCTCTCTCTCTCTCTCTCTCTCTCTCTCTCTCTCTCTCTTTCCTTCTTTTTGTGGTACAGTGTGCAAAAGGTTTGTGGAGTCCAGAGTCATAAATATTAAAATGATCTCATGAAATAATTACAACAGGCAATAACTCAGGAACTATTTTTACGGAAGGGGAATGAGTGTACATTCTCACCATTATGTTCACCATCTATTGTTAATGAATCATTTCCATCACTAACTTTGAGGACTGACATATTATTGAATTTTATTTTAATAATTCACTTGCGCGTAGGGGTCTTTAGCAGTAGGAGGAAACTGGAGGACCCAGAGAAAACCCACAAAATTCGAATCTAAACCATGCCAGTTGACTCAACGACAGACCTTATGGTAACTTTAGAATAGGAAACCAGAATCTGGTTGTAGCTTTTTAAATCTCAGTCGTAACACCATAATTCAACTATTTATTTTACACAATGATCTATTATTCAGATTTGGTATACGCGTATATTTGACAGAAAATAATTTAAGTTTTCTATGTGTGACAAAAACAAAACAAAACAGAAACAGATGATGTTCTGATCAAGTTCCTTGTTCCTGTTAGTCATTATCAAGTGTCAGGAAACAGAAAAGACGACTAGATCACCATTGGTCTATTTACAAAACTAAAATCGTATCACAGCAATTGACCCATTGTTCGTGTTTTCCTGGTAAATAAGGAAGAAGACAATTATTATATCTTCCTCATTTAAACACAAACTTACCATTCATTATTACTGACCTTGTCATGATTATTTTTTGAATATTTTGTCACATGAGTAGAGTAGAATCCCAATTTATTAGCACATTCCCTTGTGGTAATTTGAATTTATTAGAGAGAGAGAGAGAGAGGGTTTAACCTCCACTCGACAAACTAGGTCATTTCGGGACTAACATATGGTTATATGGTTAATTTTATTTCCATAATTCACTTGCGCGTAGGTTGTCTTTAGCAGTGGGAGGAAACCGGAAAACCCAGGAGTTTGGACAGACGACCCTACTCATTGTCACGTACAACCGGGGAATCAAAACCCCGCCAGTTGACTCAATGACAGACTTAATGATACAGCGCACACGTGCTAACCACTAAGCCATCAAACCCCCCTACACGGCAGAGCTGCAACGATATGATTCATATCATGATATGGACCTCAAGGTACAATACATATCGCAGTATCTTTTCTTTCCAAATTTACTCAAAATATAAAAACAAGTACGTGACTATGGAGACATGTCACATTATTAGCCACGTTTTTTCCGTCTGGCGATTTTAATCCAAAATGTTCCCATGTCTGGGATTTGTGGTTCGCTAGAGGAGACTGTAATTTTGGTTGGACACGTGTCTTATTGCCGGAAGCCATCTTTCCTCCTTGTCATGTGAATTACAGGGTGACATAGCTCTGCATGATAGTTTAACCATCGGAAGAAAACCAGATGGTTAAAAGAATCTGTACCGTGTTTACCGAACTGTGGTACGGAATTTAAAGTACCGCCTCACCGTGTATTGATGCAGCCCTATTACACGGATGTAAACATGAAAGGTTTTGTTTTAATAAAATGAGCAGAAGGCTTATGGACACAGTTTGAAATTAAAATTGGTAAATTTTATTGCGAAATGAAATGGGGTTTAACGTCCTACTGTTCCGCTCCTATACTGGGCTAATGAAGACGGGCATACGCCATACAGTGTGCTTTGAGGGAAATTTTGCCCGGGCAGCGGCACTATCGCCTACTCTTATATCGAATTCCAATTGCAAAGGGATCTTTTACGTGCATTCCAATGTATACACTGGACCTCGGTTTTTCGTCTCATCCGATTGACTAGACAGCTGTCCTTGTCAGGCCCTCCGTTCAGCACCACTGAAATTTTATTGCAACAGGAACAATATATCTGGGACTTGAAGTGCCTCAGTAATAAGAGGAGTATGCACTCGAGGTGCTGGTGTGAAATGTGGGTGTGATGTTACTACTCCAATAAAAGGTTGATGCGCTATACGTGGGCAGGGTGCATGGTGGCAGACATGTTCCTTCAATTTCTATTGATGGAGCAGCCGTTATACAGCCACTAACAGTGTAAACAGAACAAGCTATGCCAGCCCCTGCTGCAAATGGACCTGATCATGTTTGTACGAAAATTCCTCAAGATCCTCCGAACTATGCTTTCAATGATGTCTCTGGCCTAAATGTTCTGTTGCAGGAATGTGCTGCAAGTGACTATTTTGACTTGTTGGTGATATAAGATCTCATTGATACATTAGTAACCAAAACCAATTGTTATGCTTCTTCAGAAATAAATAAGCAACGTCTACTACATAGGCGATCTCGTTTGAAAGATTGGATGGACACTAATGCTAATGTAATGAAACAGTTCATTGTTCTGCTTTTTCAAATGAGCCCAATTTCCAAACCAACCATTGAGCTCTTTTGGAATACGAACCCCTTTACCACACACCAATGTTTGCCAAAGCATTTGGTCGTAACCACTTCCAATTACTCCTACATATTTGATACTTTATGGATAATTCCAATGTTGGCAATGACCTTTTGTAAAAAATACGTCCTCTGATACATCATTTTAATGAATTCATGGATGAAATCTACTACCCTGAGCGGAAAATGAGCATTGATGAATCTATGGTCTTTTGGTGTGAGCAACTTTTGTTCAGGTAGTACATAAAGTTATTCAAACTGTGTGAAGTGAATCCAGTGAGCTTCTGCTAAGAATACAGCTACTGGTATACAGTGGACGACAGCCTTGTGCACAGATTGTGTTGACACTAATAGAGGGATTCTTGGATAAGGGTCATGAAGTCTTTACAGACAATTTCAACAATTCTGTCTGCTTTTGCAAGAGAGTTGCCACAAAGTCAACTTAACATCTGTGCAACTCCCCATGATGACTGTAGAGAAAACCCAGAAGACGTCATCACCATAAAGCTGGAAACGAACGAACTGATATGGTAACTCTCTGCAAAGGGAAGGACAAACGAAAAGTCCTAACATTCACCAGCATGCATCGGGTTGAAATGATCGATGCTGCGATAGGAATGACAAGGTTTCACAAAAGCATAACATTGTTAGTTACTATAATATTGGGATGTCTGGAATCGACCATTCAGACCAGATGCTTTCATATTACTTGTCATTCCACAAGATCATCGTTGGTACAAAAACTAGGTCATCACGTACTTGATATGTGTTTGATGAATACTTATTGTTTCTACAATAAAGACCACACAGGTCCACCTAGAGGTCACAATTTTTAACTGATTTTGGTGAAACTTGTGAGGGTATCTTGCATGGCAACCGCTTGTTGATGAAAATGTGAACTCGTCAGTTCATTGAGCAGGTATGCTAGGGTGATTCAAATTCTTACACAAATTCTGAAGAAAAACATGCTTTTTTCTTCAATCTGGTTTAAATTATTTGGGATGAAAGTATAACTAAGCAGTTCAAAGCAATGCTTGTGAAATACATTTTCAAGATTTTCATTCATAAATTATAATCATTTTATATCTGTGACAAAGGATGTGTTGCTTTGGTGAAAGCTGTTGAAATGTATTATAAGGTCCATGGTTGAATCATACAGACTATACTTGTCATCAAATACATTTAATATTTATCTATACGGACCATTGAAGTGCTTGATTATAAAAGCGTGAACATTTTAGTTCATTGCACAGATATGCTAGAGTTATTCAATTGTTTGACATAGCATTACTTCTGGAGAGAAACATTCTATTTTTAGGTAGCATTACTTCTGGAGAGAAGCACCAACCAATCAAACAATGAGTCTAGGACATTCACCTCATCATCGATCTGAATATAACATTATAACAATAGAATAATGTATTTAAAGATAAATGACAAACTGACTTACCTTAACCCTAGGGGAATTTGTTATTCAGATATTATTCAAGTGTTGAATTGTATGGTAGGGATCATCTAGCCTAGTTTGGTTCACTCAATAAGGAATAAGTGGGGTTGGATGGCCAAATGGTTAGTGTGGCACACTGTATCATAAGGTCTGTCATTGAGATTGAGTCAACTGGCGTGGTTTCAATTCCCTGGTTGTACGTGACAAGGAGTAGGGTCGCCTGTCCAACCTTGTGGGTTTTCTCCGAATCCTCCGGTTTCCTCCCACTGCTAAAGACCCCAACATGCAAGCAAGTTATTGAAATGGTTAGTGTGGGCACGTTGTATCATAAGGTCTGCCATTGAGTCAACTAGGGAGAGGGGTTGTACATAGGCTAAGCCTGTTCCCCAATCCCACTCAGACATCCTGAATAAAAATATTGTTTAAAAAAAAAAGAAAAACTAGGCTGGTTTCGATTCCCTGGTTGTATGTGACAAGGAGTAGGGTTTTCTCTGGATCCCCCAGACACCAACACGCAAACAAATTATTGATATAAAATTAGTGCTAAAATGACCTGGTTTGTGTCAGTGGATGTTAAAACCCATCTCTCTCTCTCTCTCTCTCTCTCTCTCTCTCTCTCTCTCTCTTGCTCTCCCTTGGGAATACTGAACCATTCTTTGATGATTTTATTTTTAGTTTCACCAAGTTATGAAATTGTTTATTCTGATTTGTTGAGTAGAGACGTCAATAAGTAGAATGAAAAATGAATATGAGTATCTAATCCGGCCTGGATTCTGAAACCCAGACATTATTTGTAAAGAGATATGAAATAATCTTATGGATAGGTCCAACTAATGACTAATGTCTTTTACTTGTAATGGATAACCATTCCGTTTAGCATTGCCTACTGTCCTCCATGCTTAGCAACCTGCCTACTGTCCGCCATGCTTAGCAACCTGCCTGCACTGAGCATTCTGTTGTAATTTTTAATAAATGTCCACCTCCAAAATTGATCAGCTTATCAGAATTATTTGTTATGTA